GGCTGTTCCTTCTGAGAGCTGGGAGAGAGCCTCTTTCCTAGTGTGACAGTCTTGCTCAGTCCTTGGCTGGTAAATGGGCTTCCTCTTGTTTCTTCACGTTGTTTTTTGTTTTTTCTCATAACTCTGTGGGCCCACATATCCCTTTCTTATAAGGGCACCAGTCCTGCTAGATTAGGGCCACTTTTGTGACCTCCAGTTAAGTTGCTTCTCTCTTTAAAGCTGCTCTCTCCAAATAAGGTCATGTTCTGAGGTACTGCGGGTTAGAACTTCAGCATCTTTTTTGTGGAAGGGACACGATTCAGTTCATAGCACTTGCTTTATGATCTTAAATGTGTTACTTAGTCTCTCTAAGCCCCGCTTTCCTCGCCTATGAAATGAGGACTGTGAAAAGGAGAAAATGTGCCCTATGGATGCTAGAGACTTCGTGCAAGGCTTGGTTCCACTGACCAACTGTGCAACCTTGGAGACGTTCCTTAGTCTCTCTGCATTAGTTTTCAGCTGCTACAAGCAGACTACCCTCAAGCTTAGTGGCATCAACAATCATATGTGTTGCTCAAAAATCTAGGATTGGAGCAGAGCATGATGAGGAAAGCTCTGCTCTCCTGATAAAGTCTCTCTCTGACGAAGGCTGAGGCAGCTTGGCTGGTCCTGGAGGACACACTTTCAAATTGGCTGCTTCATGTGGCTAGGAAAGAGGTGCTGGCCATGGGCCAGGGACCTTGTGTCTTTTCAACATGGGCAGGAGGTGGGCATCCCAAAGAACTGGGTAGAACCAGGTTGCATTGGATTTTATGACCCTGGCTTGGAAATCACAATGTGTCACTTCTACCATAGTCACAATCCTGTCTCGATGCCAGGGAGGAGACGCAGAATGTGCCTTCTGGGAGGAGGAGAGTCATGCTGGGAGAAGCATATACAGAGCAGAAACAGCATTGTGGCCATTTCTGGAAAACTCACATCTCACCCTCTAATGTCCTGTACGTGGAGAGTTTCAGCTTTACCGGGCCATGAGGGAGGCCTTTACACACGCCTTACTGATTTAATACAGTCAGTGATGCTGCTGATGCAGTTGTTACCCCATTTCACAGGAGGGCAAACTGAGGTTCATTGCTTACTTGCTCATGGTCACCTAGCAGGGGCAGTAATAGATTCACGGCATCCAGAGCCTTTGTTCCTCAGGTGGATATCACCAGTCACTGCTGTCCAGAAGTTCCTGCTTTCCTTCCTTCTTCCTGCCCACTGGTGGCCCCTGACTTTGGGACTTACTGTGTCCTTGGCCTTGTAAGTCCTACTTGACTTTCTCAATGAGAGGCACCAGCTTCTGGTGTGGTTCTCTGAAACAGACGGCACATGATAGCCTGAAGAAGAGGCACTTACAGGAAAAGTTCTCTGTTTAGGAGCTCTCTGTTGTACTCAGATTTGTGGGCCAGAAGCATTGTTTCCATGGGAAAAGTGTCCGCAGTCCATTCCACTGTTCCAGACATTTCTGGAAATTTCTGGAAATGTAATTGGAAACCACCTCTCCCAACAACTCCACCTGGGTGCATTGGTAGTAGATGTGTGCGGGCCGGTGGGGCCCATGTTTAGATACAGGGTTTGGGGTCTGATGAAGGGGCTGAGTCCTGATTCTGGTAGTCACAGGACACCAGTTCAGAATCAGGGTACCAAGAGATAACAGTCACCACAACCTCATTGTACAGAGGAAGAGCTGAAGGTTTACAGTGGTGCATCAGGCATCAGGGCCATAGGAGGAGGAAGGGAAGGGACACAGAACGGGCTCTTGAGAAGGGAAACTTTTCATCTAAGCTCCTCTGCTCACAGCTGAGGCTGCGGATAGCCTTGAATGGAATAACGGCAAGGATTGACTGGCGAGAGAACCCAATTCCTTCTTAGCTCTGCACTGGCTGGTGGGTGGGGGAGAATGGAACAATTGTGTTGCTAAAGGACAGGTCAGGATCCCCGGGGACCTTGCTTGGCCAAAATCTTGGCTTGCATCTCACTGACTGTTGTGTCACCAGAAAAACCATTTGCCCTCCCGAGGCTGAATTCCCCCCACAGAAGGAGGTGAAGGAAGCAACTATACAGGGGCCTTGCAGGTTTGAAGAGTACGCTCTGAGGGTGGGGTGGTTTGCACAGGGTCTGGCGTGTGTGGGAGACAGTGTGGATGTGTCTTTTTATTCATGTCTGCTGCCTCCCTGACACCTGATATTGAGGTATTATCCCAGGCTTGCCACGTGGGATTGCTCCAGACAGAATGACGATTCTCATGACCTAGAGATGGAAACAGAGGCTCACGGGAACTGACTGTGCTCACACAAAGGCCGGCGTGCAAGGGGGGCCCGTGGGATCCATGAATGAACAAATGAACGAGGCCTTTCTGGGTTGGGCTGGGTTCCCTCAGTGGTGTACGTGGGAGGTGACCCCAGGAACACTGGCTGTGTGGAGGACACGTTAGTGGTTAGTGCTCAGTCTCCCTGGGAGCCCTGGAGACAGTGTGGTGTCCTGAGCAGGTCCCAGCTGTGACGTGAGCATGCTGGCTGGTCCTTGACCTCAGCTCCCGGGTGTAACCACTGCAGCTCCCCTGTGGCCTGACACACACAAGGTGCCCATGGACAGGAGGTGCCAGGGCTTCCCTGGAAGGCTCTGGGCATTCAGGAGCAGAGCACGAGGAGGCTCAGTTTGGGCTTCAAGCATGCCTCGAGTCTGGCTGTTCTTCCAGGGCAAACCCCGGTTCTGAAAGCCATCTGCCTGTGGCTTTCCTCCCCATCCACACACTCTGAGGCCTTGGTGAACTATGGGTCTCTGTATGGAGCGAATCTTTCTCTCCCTGTCTCTCCTCTCACTTGGTGTCCCCGAGCCCCGACAGCAGAGACATACACCTCCCCAGAGGGCAGCAGCTTGCTGAGAGATGGTGGGCATGTCTGGGGGAGCTGCTTTATACCAGGGCGCATAAACACTTTGGGAAAAGGAAGCAGGGAGAGGTCTCTATCTAGGTTCCTGGAGGCTGGCACAAGGACACTGGCCTGTTATTTGCCCACCCTATTCCTTCCTGCAGCCCCGGGTCAGTCTTTGGAGGAAGTAGCTGCAGATAGAAGCTACAGCACCCCCGTCTTGCCTCCCTTGCACAGAGGAGACTGACATTTACCCTGCTTAGGCTTGGACCCTAAGCTTGGCGTGTCACGTTCTGGCAAGAGCTGGGAATTTTCCCTGGTCATTCTGCTTCTGTGCAGCGGGGGCTATTCTTGGTTCCTACCTCCCAGGGCTGATGGAAGGAGACTTCATCGTGGGTACATTCCTCAGTGTGGAAGCAGAGTCTCCCCACGTTGGCTAGAGTCTGGGGCTTTCCTGGATATATTCCTGGTGGATTATGGGAGTCATGCATGCTGTCGTCCTAGACTTAGGGATCCATGATCCTGGCACTGTGGGCACAGCTAAGAGCCTCTCTAGACCCTGCAGGCAGTGAGCAGTGACAGAAGGGGTGCAGAGGTCAGTGGGGCCTGTTATAGGAGACACCCCTGGGAACACCCAGCAACCCGAGAGAAGCAGGCAGGAATGCATGGTACTAAGTGGTGTGAGCAGTAGAGGAGCCCAAAACATTAGCTGTCTTTATGTACAATAATAGCTAGCTAGAACCCGGGCATGGTGGGGCATGCCTGTAACCCAGTACTCTAGAGGCTGAGGCAGGAAGATCACAAGTTTAGCAACACTTAGACAGAACTGCCTCAAAATAAAAAAAGCTGGGGATGTAGCTCAGTGAGAAAGCCCTGAGTTCCAGGTTCAGTGCAAACACACACACACACACACACACACACACACACACACACACACTTCCCCCACCCCGAACACCCTGTAACTAGCGTTGGTGAAGTTTCTACTGTGTGCCTGGCTCCATGTTGACTGTTTGCCACTGAAACCCACATTTCATCCTCGTAGCAGTGAAAGGAGGTAGGAACAAGTTCCATCCTCATTTTAAAAATGAAGAGACTGGGTTGGGGATTTACCTCAGTGGTGCCAGCACCTATCTTAGAAGCGCAAGGTCCTGAGTTTGATCCCCAGTATATAAAACACACAGACACACAGACACACACACAGACACACACACACAAAACAACAACAACAACAACAAGTGAGGAGACTGAGATGCAGAAGGGCAAAGCCAAACCTTAGGGGCACATAGCTAAAAAGTGACAAAGGTGGGATTGGAATCCAAGTCTAGGTGTTTTCTGATTCTGGACCTTAACTGGGACCACAATAAAAAGAAAGTCCCCCTCGATTCAGGGCAGGAGTAAGAAAAGTACCCTGAGAGGCCAGCTGAGCACGCAGATGGAAGGGGCCTGCAAAGGTGGTGCAGGCCCTGCTCCAGGTTAAAAAGTGACCCAGAATGTCAAGGTGGTGACAGCAGAGCAGGACATCCAACTCAGGGGCCCAGGCAGCTGCTCAGGCCCACGCCCTGAGGTCCGCAATGGTTCCCCAGCTTTGTAGCTTTGTGTAGAGGGGGTCCTGGTCCTGGGTTTGAGCCCTGCTTCCCAGCTTCCTAGCTGATGACCTTGAACCATTTGTGGCGTCCCCAGGAGCCTCAGTTTTCTCATCTGCACAATGGAGTATCGTGGTAGATGAAGTGGGGCGCAGAGCCTGCCTTGCAGTACCTGTGACAGCAACCGTAAGAGCTATTTGCCCTACTGCCCCAGCGGCCAGGTGCAGACCTCAGGGAGCAGCAGGTCCCAGCTGTGCTCAGCCCAGCCAGGATCTCAGAGGCGGCAGCCTCCCCATGCTGGCCACCCCTCCTCCCCTCCCATCCCCCAGGCTTTTAATGAATTTAGTATTTTCATCAAATCACTCTTCCTACAACACAGGGCCTGGGGAAGCTAAAAATAGCTCCCTGAGTCACATGATGGCTCCAAATGCGGAGGCTCCCAGCAAAGGTACAAGTGCGACTCCCTGTTTCCTAGGAAATGGGAGTCATTGTGATGCCTGACGCCAGGCTGCCGCCCACGCAGCTGGGCAGCTTGCAGAGGCACATTGTTTCCTGTGACATCCTGCGTGTGACCTGGGATGGGGGAGGGCAACAGCATCCGGAACTGCAGATCTGTGGCCCGGTGCCCTGGGGTCTGACTCTCAGGAGTGAGGGCACCTGCAGGTAGATACTCTGTCCCCATCCCAGGGCCAGGCCCAAGCAGGACACTGTCAGCCTGGACTCCCCGAAGCTATAGGTATCATATGCAGAGGGCAGCGGATCTGTTGACAAACTGCCCCGGGGAAACCTTGCGGGCCTAGCCCAGCCCACCTGGGGCAGAGGGTGACCCCCTGCACACCCTCTGCCAGAGCTTGAGGCCACCTGGAGGACTGGTGAACTCCCTGGGTAAGGCTGGACTCGCCCCGCCAGCAGGACTGGACCCAAGACTTTGCATTTCTAGCCCTTCACCATGCTGACCTTTCCCCCAGACCCTCTCTTCCCCTCTCCTCTCACACCTCTTCTCGAAGCAACTCTAAATGACTTTCAGTCTCTCCACATCTTGGACCTGTGCTGGAGAATCCTGGCACCTGGGCTTGCTCTAGGCCTTGCTTCGGGACTTCCCTCCATCCTGCTTCCCACTTGGCCAACAACTGCTACTTAGATGTGGTGGCTTCAGAGTCACTAACCACAGATGCCTCGCCTGCCACATTCTGTCTCCTTAGCACTGTTACTGGCCCTGTTTTGCAGATGAGAAAAATGACCTTCAGAAGGAAAGTTACAGCCCCAAGGCCCAGGACTAGAACCCTGGACTGGGATTTAAAGCGACCTGGACGTTGAACCCACAGTTGAGTTGCATGCAGCTCACCTATTGACCCCGCCCCCGGGAAGCCTCCTCTGAAGCCTTATACATCTGGGGGCTCCCCTACAGTCTGTATGCTTTAGTGAAAAACAGGCATCTGTTGACAAGCGTGTTGTCTTGCTTAGATACGGTGTCATTTAGGGCATGGACTGTGTTCTTTTTTGGTGAGTACCGGGGATTGAATTCAGGTCCCTTACACCAGCAAGGCAGGCAGCAGAACCACTGAGCTAAACCCCCGGCCCCATGGACTGTGTTCTAATCATAGCAAGAACAGGATCTAGCACTAGTTAATATTCAGTAAATCAGCTTTCTGGACGACTGTCTAAATAATCCACCCACCCACCAGCCCATTCATCCATCTATCACCCATCCATCTATATGGCTACTCAAATGTTTGTTGAATGAATGAATAACCAAACGGTCGGTATCTGATCACTGTTAAGTGAATACATAAACACCTGGTCATCATTGCTGAATGGATGAATATTAAGTTCTCTATACATGCAGGTTGGCTGAGTGAATGAATGAATGTCAGCTACTAATAAATGCTATGTGGGTAAATTAATGAATACACAGATAGCTAGTAGGTGCTCATTAAGCGTTGATTGCCTGGCTAGGAGAATGGATGGGTAGGCTGGTGGAGGATGGATGGGTTAGACTGGGGAGGGAGTGAGTGGACAGACGCATGGGTAGGATGGTATACAGATGGACGGATGGGTAAACAGCCGTGGATAAGTATGTGGGAGGTGGATGGGGGTGAGTACGTTGGTGTGTATATGGATGGATGGAAGAAGAGATGGAGGGAGGGTGGGGGAGTTGGTGAGCGAGCGCATGCGTAGGTAGGTGTATAGCCGGATAGATGGGTGAATAGGTGGAGATGCGGGGTGGGGAGGTGGGTGCATGTGGGTAGGGGGTAGACTGGTGCATGGATGGACGGATGGTGAGCAGAAGGAGGTGATGAATGGCTCGATGGATGGACAGACAAGTGTGTGCTGGCGGCTGAGTGAGAGGCAGACCCGTCACTGTGATATTGTTAGCGGTAGAGGATGTTAGCTGCTAGAGGAGAGGCACTGTATGATGCCACTTCTGCCAGACAGATGACACAGGATGAGTTATTCCAGGATCCCCCGGTACACAGAGTCTGCAGCCAGCAGGGCAACCGGATGCTTCTCTGGGCCACCAGCACTGACTGGGGAAAGCAGATGGATGATGCATGGGGAGCATCGGGAGGGGGTGTGGAGCTGTTTTAAATGTCAGGATGTCACCCAGCTGCGAGATTGGGGCTTGGCGTCTGTCATGTTCCCGAAGCACTTGTTTTAATGACTAATTATTTTCCCTCTTCTGACATGGCTCCTTGCAAGGGGAGCAGGGTAGCTTGGCCAGAAGCCTGCGACCTGCGCTCAGCAATTGATTTCACAAACAAGCCAGGAGGGAGTTAACCCCGACCTGCCAGGTGCAGAGCAGAATCTGGAGGCCCAGCCAGGTGCTTCTCAGCTGGGTGTCCCTGCCAGGGCTGGCTGGCACCTGCAAAGAATCCAGAAGAATTAGATCAAACCCCAGGAGGACATCTAAAGACTTGGAGAAAGGCAAGAAGTTCGCTTAAATTTTTTTATTTGTTTCTATTTTTATGAGCCATAGTCTAACTGTGTAGTCCAGGCTGGCTTTGAACTCACTATGTAGCCCAGGCTGGTCTTGAACTCACAGCTTGCCTCCTGCCTCAGCCTCCCAAGTGCCAGGAAGACAAGTATGTGCCACCAGGCCCAGCGAAAAGTTACTTTATTTTAATCTACATGGCATGATTAAGCATTTTAAAGAGTATTTACTATGTTTGGGACATTGTATAACTGTTTCCTTGGAATTATCTCCTTCATTCTAGGAGTAGCCCCTTGAAGGACTCTGTTTTCATAGTCCTCGTTTTAGAGACGTGAACACTGAGGAACAGAAATCAAATTGTAGAGATTTTACTACATGTGCTTTGATGTAGTACTTCTTTCAAGAGGTCAAGCCTGATTCCCTTTCTATGGTACACGGGCTGAGCTTAGTGACTTGTCCCAGCAATTAGAATGAGGTGGAGGTGGCACATTTGATCTCTGTCACAACATGACACAGCTTCCACCTGGCTCTGTCTCTCTGGTGGTAGCTTTGGAGCCCTGAGCCTCCAGGAAGGAGGTTAGACTGGACCACCATACTGGGGAGATGAGAGAAAGAGAGATAGAGAGATAGAGAGAGAGAGAGAGAGAGAGAGAGAGAGAGAGAGAGAGAGAGAGA